CCACACAATGCCTATACAATTCATTCCAACCGGCATGTCCACTGGGGGTATGTAAAGCAGGACCTTATGTCCAACTACAATCCGCCGCGTGACAACTTTCTACTGGAGGTCACAGTGAAATGATTGCCGCACCTGGGTATGTCTTTGTGTGCGTGCTTGGCCCTGTCAAAATGATACCCTTGCAACACATCGCGTCCAATGCTTGTGTAAGTGTGAGCTATGTTTCCGTGCAATTTTCCATGTCATCCGCGATGGTTTGCTCTCACATGTGGAGGAAATTGCACGTCCAGTTGGCAAGCTGTTATTTGTCGTTTGTTTGGTCCAGGACGTCGAATCATTTCGGCAAAGGCCCAAGAAGGTTTTTCGCTCGGCGTGGTCCGCTGGGGTGGTTCGCTTCAGGCGGCCAGGGCCCAACTCGCCATCACGGTGACCACGGAGGTGGAGGATGTGGAGCTGGCGGTGGAGCTGGCGGAGGGTGAAGCACAGGACGAAGGAGGCCGTGGACGTGTCCACCGTTTTCCCAAGATGGACCTCCACATGGATATACTCAGTATAGGCCAAAACCCGAAAATTTGGAAGCAAAACAGGGGACACCCAAGACCTAGTTTCTCTTCGGTTTCCCTGGTACACTTCCACTTGGGGGTCAGTGCGGATGGTATTGCATTTGGGTTGGACCGGGCTCGCAAAATCGGCGCTTGGCCGCGAGGCTTCCCAGCGCCTTTGCCCTGCGGCGTGGCCACCACGCGCCGCTTCTGCGGCAAGGATGTCCTGGGGAGGCTGTGCGTGGCAGGCGTGCCGCCAGTGCCCTGGCTTGCACATCGTCGAAGCTGGGCCCATGAATTTAGCACATACCTGGAAAGTCCTGCGGTGCTGAATTTCTGCTGCTAATCAATTGAAATTGCACGAATTGTCACTGTTGCTGCACCCCCCCCCCCAAAAAAAAAAAACGCGCTTGGTCCCCAGAAATGGTTGCACAAAGTCATTTTCGCCCAAAAACGCCTGGAGGTAGAAATTCATGTTCCCAGACTAAAACAACACTTTTCGCTCAAAAGGCAGACACTTTACAGACCTTGGCTTCTCAAAGTTGGCCTTCAGGCCGCCATGTGCATAATGTTGAGGGTGTGACTTTACTGGATGCAGTAAAGTCTGGGGCCAGGCGCGAAAGGAACAGAGGGGTGAAGGAATTTGGGGAAGTCGATTTCTGCGTGATGGTGATGGCATTGGCTGCCCAAGGTCTCCTGATGTTCTGAGACAAGAGCAAGACTGCGTTTGCGTGGAACTTGCCCAGGTGCCCTTTGGCGTGCAGGTGGAGGCATCCGTGAGGGGGCGGAGAGCTGGCACAGATGTTCTTCATCCCAGAGTTATTGAGCCTGTAGCAGTTCTTAGGCCCTAGCCAAGGACACCTTTACCTGGGCATTTTGGGGCAGCTTGAAAAAATTAAAGGGGTCAGGTAGCCGCGCAAAACAAGCAGAAGGCATCTGCTCCGGCTGGGCTGGTCTCACCCCGCAAGCCGTTGAAATTCCCCTCATGTGACCGAAGCTGCGAAGGAAAGCGGTCTTGAGGGGCCTCACTCAGGTTCCCCCTGGTTTGCTTGTGGCAGGGTGCTATCAACCCCTTATCAACGACACCCCGCAATCATGAATCAGAAGGGCTGCCCTGGAAGAAAGGGATCCTTACTAAAACCAAATGTCATGAATCATCAGCCTGTTTGCCCAGCGGCCTTGCATGACCTTGCCTCGAGTCGACTCGAGGCCCTGTGCTTTGCATTCGGCCCGCTGGCTTGCGAGGCGGGGCGCAGCTTCGTGGCGACGGAGGTGCGGCGCCGCACGCTCGCGCTGGGGGCGGAAGAGCTTGGCCTGGGCAGCGGGATGGGCGCCACGGGGCGAGGCGCGAGTTTCGGTTTCGCGCCGCGGTTCGGGAGATTCGAGCGACGTGAGGCGCGGCTGGGGCAAGTTTCTGCGTGGGTGTTTTTGTCTTCTCTCCTTTGGCTTTGGCAGAAACGCCAACAGCTCCTTCTTGCCTGGGAATTGATAGGGGCTCCGAAAGAAAGGAAGCGACACAGGCTGGGTAAAGTTAAAGCTGAGCTGCCAGAGCTTCTTTTTGTGGTGGATTGTTTGTGCCAATTGTTCAACGACCTCACCGATTCGGGGGTAAAACGAGCAGAGCGATAGTGCAGGTCCTTTACTCGAGGATTCATCGCTCCAGGTGTTGAAATTGTTTGGAATTTGCAGCTTGCCCAAGGCCTGAAACAATGCTCAAAGCTCCACACCCGCAAGATCACGCCAATGAAGGTTCCTGGTTCATGGTGGCCGTGGGATGCTAAGCAATTCAATTAGGGAAACGTTTAGACCGTTTAGACTTTGTTTTATCTCTCTCTCTCTCTCTCGCTTTCTTTCTTCCTTTCGTTCTTTCTCTCTCTCGGTCTCCCCCTCCCTCCCCCTTAAATCAGCAATGCTGTGACGTGGCAAGGCGAACACCTTTGCCTGGCTGGGTCTTGCATTTTGTCAGCTGGCAACTACAGCATGTTTAGATAGCTGACAACTGCTTTGCCACCGTATTTTTTTTTCCTTCTGGTTATGCATTCTCGCGTTTCAGACGTCTGGCCAAATGAGGGAACCTCCACTTTAAGGCGGGCCACCCTCAGAACCACAGGAACGAGAGTTAGGCCAGTCTACCAGTGCAGGCACCGCCGTGGACATGTCCATCTCCGAGGGACCCCAGGCTGTCTTGAGCTTAGACGCCTGGAATCACCTTGTAGCTGTCGAACAGGACTTGATGCGCACACTGAAAAGGCGTTTCTGGTGGCGCTTTCGGAACACCCTGCAGAATGTTAGGTCCGCAAAAGCCCCAGCAGTGCGAATTGCTTCAGGTTCTGACCGTGAATATCCGGCGCGCCAAAAAGAAGGAGCTGACCAAGCTGGCTCAGCAACAGGCAGCTCCGGTAGGGAGAGGGCAGCAGGAGCTCGGTCACGGTATGCCTCTCTTTCCTATATCTTCTAGGTGAACCAGCCACATCCCCACCACTCCCTGGCAAATCGGGGTAAATTGCCGGAATGTGTGGGGCAAGTCCAACAATCCAACAGCATGGTAGATCTAACAGGTGGCATCCGTCAGCTGCTTGGTGAGGGGGTTCCGCGCCAGGCGCTGCAGACGGCCATGGAGCGGGGCCGCTACAGCAGCCTTCTGGCACAGATCGCTCGCGCGAAGACCCGGAAGGTGGAGGCGGAGTTTGGAAGCTTGGGCGCCATAGTTGTGTTTGTTGGGCTGGCATGTCAGGTTGCAGTTCTGGTTGGTTGGTTGGTCGGTCGGTCGGTTGGTCGGTTGGTTGGTTGGTTGGTTGGCGGGCCAGCTGCCTAGGTTGCTCGATTGCCTGGTTGCTTGCTTGGTTGGCTGGTTGCTTGGTTGGCTTTTTTGGCGCACCCAGCTCTGGGTCTGGACCGCATAGATTCCGGGCATGTGCGCAGGCAGCGATGATCGAGCAGGCGAACAGGGTCCTGAAGACCCTGCAGCCAAAGGAGGGCTCCTTCATGACGCACAAGGAGCGATGGAGTGAAGTGAGAGCGCGCGAGCGGAGCGGGAGCCAGAGGTAGGATCAGAGAGCTGCAGACGGTGAAATGCTTGGTTTGTTTCGTTGGTTTGGTTGGGTTGGGTTGGGTTGGGTTGGGTTGGCTGTTGGTTGTTGGCTGTTGGTTGTTGGCTGTTGGTTGTTGGCTGTTGGCTGTTGGCTCTTGGGTGGGTTTGGGTGGGTTTGGGTTGAGTTCGGTTGGTTTGGTCGGTTTTGTGCGGGTAGGGAGTTGCCTTTTTTGGCCCCGGGCCCAAACCAAGCTGAAAGGTTTAGAGGGTTTCCTTCGGAGTGGCATATGCGTTCTGACTGGGTCACTTAGCCTTGGCCACATGGTGCTGCCCTCAAACAGCTTCTTAGCCCTGTCAAGTTGAAGAAAGCAAATTGCCTCCGCAGAGTTGTTCTGTCTTCGGTTCTTTTTTTTTTGGCCATCTTTTTAGAGCCACAATTATCATGAGGAGTTGGCGCACCTCATGAATCTCGGCTGAAGGGCGGACGGTGGGCTCGGGGCTTGAGCCCCAATTGTTCGCGTGGGTTTGTCTGGGGCTTCTTTGGACGTCATTTGAACAATCATTTTGCATTTTGGTGTCCACTACACCTGGACAAGAAGTAATTGTTCGTGTCAGGTTCACTTGGGTTCCGTTTGAAGCCACAAAAAAAGGATACCTAAAAAATGATACTCCCATATACGCGATGCATTATATACATCCTCCATCTACTTGTTCCAAATCAAATCACTCCGGGTAGCCCTCGCACGCATTCCAGCCAGTTGTACAGCACTTACATCTAACTCCGCTCAGCTCTTTTCTTTAACGCCACACTTTCCATCTTTTCTTGGGGAACGAGACATTTTGACCGCGGACTTCCCCTAGCCGAGGAAGTGGCGCCGCGTCACCTGCCCCGACGGCGCTGCAGAAGCTTCGGTGCCTTGCGGGCTGGACGAGGCATGGCTGTAGAACTCGGTGCGGGTGTGTCTTTTTTTGAGGGTATTCTGGGATCGTCTGGAAGGGAAACCGAAAGGAAGCCACAATTTTGAATTTTTGGGTCCCCCAAGAATTAAGGCATGCATACCCGTATGAGTGGGGCGTTTGCGCCTCATATGGAGAACTATCAAGCTGGACTTGTGAGTTGGCAAGGCATGCATCTTCCATGTTTTAATTCCATGCAGGATGCGCATGAGCCAAAGGGCTCCAGTGGCTCACTTTTTCGCAGCACGCAAATCAGCTGTTGGATCAGGCCGTGTTCCGTCCCCACCCTCTAAGTACTGATTGGAAGGTGAGGCATGCCCCAATGAAGGGGCGTTTCCCTTTAGATTTTCATTTTGTGGGTTCAAGAGAGATACTTCTTTTTCTTGCTGGGCCATGCTTGTCCGCCCCGCTTGCCGCAGGCGTGCCCGTGCAATGCGGGCTCCGCCCAGCCTGGGGAGCTTTGTTTGGTGATGAACGATGCCGTGGCTGTGGCGCTCAAAGACGTGGCGCCAAGTGACACGGCCGGCTAAGGCTCCCACTGCTTGAAACATGTTGGACCGGGGAGGGGTGGTTTCAACCGGGGACTCTCTGTAACCTGAATTAACACTTTGCGGTTGGAAGGCCAGTGGAAGCTTAACCCCATCCCGTCTCCCTTCTTGAACCTGCCGGCCACGCGGAGCTGGTGTTAGGGTGGGCCCAATCGCTCCACCATGGCGATCCCCAGCCAAATGTAGAGCTGTGTGGGATTTTATGGAGAGTGGAGGGTTTACATCATTTTTTGCTTGGCTATTCGCAACATGTTAGATCACTTGGGGGAACGCTTAGGGCACCTGGCTGCGCAATCGCCGCATGGCAGGGTCATTGCGAATTGACGGCTTGGAGCCGGGGACACCGATTAGCCAAAACTAGCCCACAACTCCTATAAGCCCCAAATCCCTAAGGCCACTGCTAAACCAGCCACACACCTAGCACAACTAGCCGACCCCCAAGTTGAATGATGAGGCGATATGGGTGAAACGTGCAGACGCTGAGAACTCCCACACAATGCAAATACGGGGGGCCTACGGGCATCCTGAAAAATAGAGACTCGCAAAATTGTGGTTTTCCTTTGTGTTGTCGCAACCCTCCGCCCAGCATTGACCCCTGAGGTCATATGCCAGCGGACCAGTGGTTATTTAAGGCCCTGGTGCAGGCCGCCTTGCATGCGCCGGAAGGCTGCGTTTGGAAGTCAGGCAGGGTGCTGGGTGCTGGCCCTTGTGGTCACAAGGGGTCCCAACCGCACTGGGAACGGGCTTTGCCAGGGCTGCCACTCGAGTTTTTGTGCACTCATAAAGCTGGGTTCATTGAAAGTCCCTGGCGTTTGCCAGGGGGCAAGTTCCTGCTCTCCAACGAGGAAAGGAGACTTGGAAGCACGCCTTTTTGGCTCTCATTCCCCGCCTGCAGGTCTGATTGCATTCGGGTGCCAAATGTTGGGCAGTTTCCCAGGGCTCTTGGACAGGGAGTGGGGGCATTTGCAGCTACGGTCTACAATTCGCTCAGCCAGGCAAGCTTGGAGTTTGTCGTGTGCGTCAGAGCTCAGGAACCAGTCTGCCAATGCCATCGTAGGCGTCCTGGAGCGCAACAACACTGAGAGTGAGGCTGGCAAGGCGCTGGGGGCCTTCCCTTGTTTTGGTGCTTGTCGATGTTGTTTGTAGATTTCGGCACTCATTTGTTACAATCATAATTCATAGCCGGTCAGCCTTAGGCACATCGCCCTGGCCGCCAAACATAGACGCATCGTCAAACTGGGTGCGGGAAGCCGATGTCTTTTCTCAGCTCCCACCTATTCAAGCATTTTGAGCCACAAAGGAGGCTGTGAACAAATTGTCAGCCGTCCTTCTCCACCGGCTTTTGTTGCTTGCGGGGCGACTCTGGCAGAGCGGGGGAAGATCTGTTTTGACCGCCAGCCTTGGCTGCCAGGGGGTGCGCGCACTCGTATCCTTCACAGAACAGGAGTATGGCTACCGTCGGGGGCCAAGGTGCTGGAAGCACTTGGCTTACAGGCATCGCTATTTTTGGCGCATTTGACATGGGCAAGCCTTGAAGCGCAAAGCTTCGTGCAAGGTTTTAAGGGAAATCGAGGAAACTTCAGGGGCGGCCAAAATAGAGCTGTTCAAGGCAGAGGGCTGTGCACAAAGGTGTGACGGCGGTGCAGCTGAACTTTCACCCCAACCACAAGTCCTCGCACAAGCGCCTGCTTCAGCAAGAAGCCTTGCCCTTTCACTTGACAATTAGGCTTTTTGCCGGCAAGTCTCATTCAACGAGCGTCCACCTGGATACGAGATCCGGAGACTGAAAGGTGCAGGAGGGGGTTCCAGAAGGAGGCTATTATCCGTGAACACTCGCTAGCGTGCAGCAGCTTTGGAAGATCAGCACCCTGCATCCGGGCATCAAAACAAGGAAACCCAAAACAGGCTTTTTGCCTTGGTTGTCGCTTTAAGCCAGCCACCCATCTCAGGCAGCACCGAGACATCTATGGCGCAGGGCAGAAGGGCGGCATCAACTGCACTTGCAGCTTCATGAAGTGCACCGGCACAGCTTCTTGGCGATCCATTGGAGGTTTGGCCGAAATTTTGAGCAGTCTATGGTTTATCCGGGAGGGACATGCAGAGGACCCTCTACATTTCTCACCAAACCAGGGGATGTCCTTTTGGGGAAACAAGTGATATTGACCGTGGCTCATCTCCAGCCTGATGGACCGACCTTCAAGTTGGTTCCGAGAGAAGTGTGGGCCATCTTGCTTTCGCCAAGAAGTTTATGCCATCAGCCCTTTGTGAGAGGCTGTTGTGCGGAAATGTGAAGTTTTGGTGAAGGGCTTGGCATGGTGCTAGGCTTTTCGGCAAGCGCGCTTTCTGGAATTGCCCGGCTCTGATGATTCGCGAAAGATCCGCTGTATACATGATGTCCATGAAAGGGCCCCCAATCAATCGCATAATGTGAATAGCCTAGAAGCGGTGCTCCAGGTTTGCTACTCGCTGGGCTCCAGTCGCCAAGTGCTGTGCGAGACCATCACGGATGCGCGATCCAAATACCAGACTTGCGGTGAGGAGAGGGAACAGCCAAAGGGTGGGGAACAGCCACACCATTTCAGAGGGGCTTGCATCTTTAATGGTAGCCTTTGCTCCAAATGTTCAAACGGCCCACCAAGAAACATGGCAAACGCAAAGCTGAATTCCCCCTTGTTCCTCCCCTTTGGAGTGTTGCGATTTCTGAAGGAGTGCCAGGGCATGAAGACCTACAAGTGGATGCACAGCGGCAGCGCCATGCACTTCAATGCCCCATGGAACAACAACCACACGCATGGAGCCTCGGCTTGTCATTGCCCCCCGGGCTGGCGGGTTCTGAATCATTGTCATGTCATGAAGCGATGCCAAGGAATTCCCCCGCTGGATGAGCCATGCGGCCCTCGGATTTCAATTGCTTTGCTTTGTGCTTAACGTCTCATGGCGACGCAATGACGCGCCAAAGTTTGCCTCGTCTGGAGGCTCTCGCGCCGATTCACAAAGATTTGTATTGGGACGATCTCTGCTCGTCTCATGTTACGGCTCAGTGGGGAATAATGTGGAGTAATGGGATTCCCTGCAAAGTTTGGTTGGGCATGGTGGATGTAACAAGGAGGGGAGCCTCGCAAGCAACGCAGCAACTGAGCTTCCGACTGCGACCCAGCGATGGCGGCCAAGCCGCCAGCGGCTGAAAAACGAGCAAGCCACATCGAGGTGCGCCTAAAGGTGAGGTCTCAACCACGAAAAACACGATTTTGTACCCACTTTCTGGTTCCCGTGCGAGGGCGGTTTGCCTTTGGATTCTTCTCATCCCATGGTTGGCAACTTCATTTTCGAATGGCTTGCCTCAAGCAAAGAAGTGTACTGGTTTGTTCCCACTTGCATTTAAAACCAAATGCGGCATCGCGCAGTTTCCCTGCTCGGCCCTTTCTCTCACAGCACCTCCATTGAGGGCCTCTCATGCTTCGATGCTTCGGCACATGGCAAATAGGTTTGGCAACAACACAACTTGCCCCTTGCACTCACCCATGACCAGATGTTTGAGCCGCAGGAGTGCGGCATGCGGAGCCTAGCTGTTTTGCAAATGGCCAAGGGCATCTAACATCAGTGCCCACACCTTTTTCTCAGCACAGATGGGGAGTGCCCAGTGTGGGCCCAGCACCTCGGCAGCTTCAGCGCAACTGTGGGGAGGGTTTTCTGTTTTTGGACCCGGCCGATGTCCGGTGTCAAGGGAATCCGGAGACGACCCGCAGGGAAGGAGCTGTGTGCTGCTGGCCTGGTTCTTCCAAGCCTCGGCAACCCTACAGGCTTGTTCTTGGTTGATGCGTCAATCGCCTGAATTCGCTTTGTAATCTCTGACTTGCTGGGCATTGGGACATACGAAGTTCTTTTCAGGGAACCGCGGTCATGGTCCACGGGAGTTTTGAGCATACGCAGTGCCAGAAGGTCCTCGGACGCGCCAAGGCCCATGTGCTTGCCCCAAGTCGGACACAGCCCCCTCCGACAATGCGCAGGTGGTTGAGGAGGGCAGTGGTGGGAGTCAAGCTAGGAAATAGACACTTGGGCAAGCCGGTGGAATGGTTGTGAGCGAAAGGTCAGCCATCAGCCATAACGTTGCAACTCTGGGCATTTTTGGGCCTTGAGCCCGGTTCCGGCTTTCCTTAGGTCCGCTTCCATGACCCGGCCCAGCCAGGAGGGAGAGCCCAAGGGCTTCGGGAAGAACAAGCTTTTGTCCTCCCTGGGCCCGGCCTATGTCTTTGAGGATGGCGCCCGCTACAGCCGCTCTGCGGAAAGAGAGGCGGCGATTTGTTTGTGGGGCCCCAGGCGCCGCCTCCAAGTCCAAAATGCGCTTTTGACCCCATGCGAGGGGAAAGGATTTAGCTTAAATTCACATTCTAGTTGTGTATCGGCAAGCCTGTGGGGAATGGGGGCATTGGTGCTTTCGCCATTGGTTTGGTGACGGCCTGGGAAATCTTGTGACATGAGGCAGCATTTGAATTGGTGCCTGAGGTGGCCAGTGGAAGGGCAATATGAGACACGGCGCCTTGGGGGCACGGAGCTGGGCCGGCCAGTCGCCCTCATGCCGTTTGAGTTCCGAATCGGACAGTTTGGACGCCGGGGAAAGCGGGGGGTTCTGGAAACACGAACAAAACTACCCCTTGGCATTTGGCACCCAGTTGGGCTGATTGGTCTTGTAGATAGTTCTGCGGTGCTGGCTCAAAGGCGCGCCGTTTTGTGGGGGGTCCTCCCATTTGGAGACAACTCCATTTTGATTTGATTGGTTTTCCAATCTGCACCCAGTGTTTGAAGGCGGCAGGACACGCACGCGGGGGGAAGAGGCCCGCGGTTTTCCAAGCCCCTGTCATTGAGCCCTGTGCAAAACGTTGTTCCTAGCGCTCAGCCCAGGCTATGGCATCCACGTGGAAGCAGATGGCTCTACCTATGAAGGAGCGGGATGGCTGGGTAATTCACGGCTGAACTCCGCACGACGCTCTAAGGGTGTGTGTACTCTCCAATTCCTTTTTTCCTAGTGGCCAGTGGTTGTATATCCCCCAAGGGAGAAAAAATAATAAGCTCAGGTGATATCCCCAACAGCACGCGGAGCCCTTGCAGAACCTCGTGGAACCCTAGTGGAACCCTCGTGGAACCCCGGTGGAACCCTGGTGGAACCCTGGTGGAATTTTCGTGGAACCTTACCTCAGGGCCGCCCGGACCACCCCGGAGCCTATCTGGGCTGAGACCCCAAAGCTTTCAGCTGTTTGGGGAATAAAGAAAGAAACATGGAACTCACAAGCTGTCCACCAAGAAGAGTTCCCGCCCTACAAAGGATTGTTCTCATCAGCAGCAGGGTGCTCCTTTTCTTCCCAGGACACTGGCAGGACGACAAAGCACACGGGAGCGGCCGGCTGCAACATGCGGACGGCGCCAGCTATGATGGAGAGTGGCACGGGAGCATGAAGCGCCCCGGCGAATGCGCAAATCACCCCATGGGGTGACTCCGGCCGGGTTTGACGACTCACCGAGAAGCGGACTAGTTGGGAGTCGGAAAAAGAGCACTCCCATGTTCATTTCGGATCTAGGCGGAATCTGGAGTGTTCGAAGGGTTTTGAGCCATGAAGGACGGAAGCTCATACAGCTGCCGCCGAGGGGTCAAAAAGTCACTTTTTCTAGTTGGTTTAGAGGATCCAGATGCAAAGCACGTTTTGAAACGTCTCCTTGAAGGAAGCTTTTCGAAGGAAGCCTGATCAAGCGTTAATTACAGTTTTCCCGTGACGCGGTTGTTTGGAGCCTCCCCAAAACTTGGAGCAGCGCGGCATGGCAGCTTCCGAGGCATGGCCAGGGCAGCTACGTGCACTCCGATGGCTCAAGGCCCTGCCCTGCGTTTGAGACGGGCGCCGAGGGGTCATCGTTCAAGGGCAGGCTGCCCGCCTGGCAGAAGTAAGTGGCAGTGGCAGTTTTGAGCTGAGATGTTCTTTGCACTGCTTTCTTTGGTATTCTCGCTCATCCCGGGATAGTCTTTGTGACCATGACCGAAAAACAGCCTCACACCAGCAAACCAGCATGGTCCCGAATTAGGCCCAACATGGGCTAAACATCAGCATAGGCACACACACACATATTTATATATAATATATATATATATGCATTTTGTTTTTCCGGGGGGGGGGAAGTTCTGGACAGGTACTCTGGCCAGTGGCTGAACGATCTCCAGTCCGGCGACGGCACGGAGGAGTGGTCCGATGGTGCGTGCTATGCAGGCGAGGGGTTAAAACTGTGTGCCTTAAAGCAGAAGCAATTTGAGGATTTGCGGCGTGGTTTCCCCCAAGCCACCATAAGCCACCATTTGGAGGGTGATTTTTGAGGATGTCATGCAGGAATACTCCCACCAGCAAAGGGTGGAGGGCCACTGCCAGCCACTTTCTGGCAAAGCCACGGCTCTGCACAGCCACTTGTGGCCTTTGCTCCAGACACGAACTTTGCGGGCAACATCTCTCATTGCATTCCGTCCTTGCATTCACTTAGTAGTCCCGCCGTTACAAATCTATGTGATTTGGGGAAGCATTAGCAGGTGCGCCATTATTGATTGCTTGTTGTGTTCCACTCTAAACACGCTCTTCATTTCCTGACTTGTTTGCATATTCAGAGGGGCATGTCAAGAGCTTGAATCTAACTTGCTTGCGCACCGGCGCAAGGGGGGTGGACACACTTGTGCGAGCTTGCGCCAGGCCAGTACCTTGCAGGTCGCAAGAACGGCCGAGGCCGGAAACAGGTTTGGCCAACCTGCACGGGCTTGCATCTTGCTGTCTTGCGGCCCGCCAGTCCAAGCAACGGTCTTCAGTTGAGACCTGGATGTGATGTGATGTGCATTGAAGGGGGCAAGGGGGTGCTCAGTTTGAGGCTTCCTTTGAGCCGTTTGCCGGGCCGCGCTGCGAGGCAGGTACACCTGGCCGAACGGCTCCTACTTCGAGGGGGATTTTGTGGACAATGCTACCCGGCTCAGAGTGGTCTGTTCCTGGGAGACAGGGTGATCGGTGGCTTCTCATGCTTTGCAGCCTTGGTGGCCGCGCGGTTTTGACAAAGTCCAGGTGATAGCAACTTTATGCCACATGTTCTAAGCAGAGTCACTGCATTTTCGCAGCGTTGGATTGGCAACTCGAAGCTTTCAAAGCCAACGTAGGCAGAGCGCCATTGAAACGACTTTCAGCACGCTGAACGCCGGCATTCCATCAGGACATCCACGGCACAGGCGTCTACGTTTGGACGGATGGCTGCAGCTATGATGGGCAATGGGCACCTCGGAGGGGGCGATCCTTGGGTCTGCCATGGCGAGCGGTTCCGATTCGAGGGTGTTTCAAACCGAGCGAAAAGAACTGGATGGTCCTTCAATGACTTGGTTTGGAAACTCTTATTGAAGCTTCATATCGATGTTTTGGATTTTTCTCTCGATGTTCATGTAGGAGTTATCCAACAGACATACCGTCACAAAAACAAACCCACGGAGGAACGCTTTTGTTCACTTGATGGGAGTTTGGAAGGGGGAGGGGACCCGGGCGCGGGGCAAGGGCTTCTTGCCCATACATATCCTTTTCGTGGGTGAAAAGGAACAGTGTAAAGAGGGGGACCCCCTTGTTGTCCTTAGATGTCCTTAATCATACGTATGCTGCTTTGGCAGTTTGCAACGCAGAAAGTGGTGAGGTCCAGAAAGGTTTCTCCTGACTCAACGGCAACCAAGCGTTCGCCCATCTCTTTTGTCATGATATCAATCAGTCCCCAGATAGCTGAAAGCTACAGGGGTTCTAACTTCTAATAAAGAGGGGTAAGTGATTTGCTCAGCCTGCAGGACCCCCCGCCCCAAATGTCCTCTACATGGGGCGATAGCCTTGACACCCGATTCCTGTGTTTGCGTTCTGGAACGCAAGCTTTTGAACCGATTGATGCCAAGCCTGTGTGTCCCCAAACTCCAGGCACCCTCGGCGACGGCATGCGTGGCCCCAATATGCGCACACAAATGGCCTATCGTAGGGGAGAAGTTTCGTTTCTGTGTTGCGCACAGTGGTGTATTTCTTGCTGTTGGCGGTTCCTTGGGGCATTCCCGCCAGAGCCTGCTGAACTTTCAAAAGCATTTCTGGGGTTCGAAGCGAGCGTGCAGCAGCGACATGGTGCTGCCAGATGCTGCTGGCATTTTTGTTGGTGCCAGACGTTCGTCCAGCCGAGATGTTGTTCGACGTGCAAAGTGCAATGTGGTTTTTCTCCGCACATTCAAGTCGGAAAACTCGGCCTTGCTGAGTGCTGCTTGGATATCGATGTTCCCCATTGGTGACATGAGGTCAGGCAGCAGATGGAGGGAACCGGCATCTTCAAATACCCGGATGGCCGCATTTATGAGGGCGCCCTGGCACGGCTGAACGGGATGACTGCGCCGGTTTGTGGTCTTTGAGGGCGCTCCGTGTGGATGATGTTGGAGGGTTTCAAAGGAAAAAAACACCAAGAAAGACAAGAACCTGGATATCCCGAATGTACAGACACTTGCCATTTGTGGACATCTGTGTCCAGAATAACGTGGCAAGTAGGCTGCAAAGAGCTAAAGATGGCCTTGTTTCTTGGGGCAAATGGTTGCTGGAAACAAACGCCCAATGCAAAGGGTAGTGTGGGGGAGAGCCCGACGCGAGAATTGAAAAATTGCAATTGAACAATCGCAATGCGATCCTGGCAGAAGCCGGTGCTTGAAACCGGACTAGGTGCCTACGTGAAGAGTCAGAAGCACGGCATGGGCAAGCTGACGTGGCCGACTGGCAAGTGCTATGAGGTGCGGAGCGTCAAATCATCGTTCAAGACGAAAAAGCACGCGTTATGCTGAACAAAAAATGGCCTTGTTGTGGCAAACGTTGCTATATATGGGTGTTGGTGCTGACATCTGCTGACATAGTCTTTGCGTTAGTTTCGAGCACGGCCAGACAGTTCAATGCTGTACAGGGTGAATGGACCCTCGGTGAGATCCACGGGAAGGGTGTCATGACGGAGGCGGACGGCTCTCGAAAGGACGGGCTGGTTGCCTGCCATTCAGCAGCATGCTGCACACCGCCCAGCCAACAAGTCTACGGTGACATGAGAGGGTCTCTTCTTGTTCAAAACGCTCTTTTTTTAACTTGAGAGGGCAGCTTTCCCTCAACAAAAAAACACCTCCCCATGTGCGAGGCTCTTTGTCAGCAAGCGCCCTTGCATGCACATGGTTGAAATCTGTTGGCGTGCAGTGACTGCTGATGGGAGTGAACTGCAGAATTAACCGCCAGGGCCTCGCCAAGAGGCAGAAGGCATCCTTCTGGGACAAAAACAGACGCTCTTTAGCGCCATCTATATCCCACCGACCAAACTGACCAAACATGGATACCTAGCCTGCTGGGGGCATTCATTGGGGACGCCGCCGTTGGCCCAAGTTGCCGGCTCATGTCCGGCTGGAGGGTATGAATTCAAGAGGTTGCTACAGGCACACAACATGGCAGCAACCGGAGGCGAGGGAGAGCCGAGGGTAGAGCTGCGGATTGGATGGCCGATTGGGGTCGCCGCCCGTAGGGAGCGCATTTGTGACTCGCTTCCGGGCAGGTCTCGCCATCCTTGTGGATGAGAAGCGGGTCAATGAGTTGCTGCAGCAGAAGAGCGGGCTGAAGGCTTTGCTGCGGTCCACCTTCAACACCGTTCTCTTCGTTTCTGGTCACAAAAGAGCACTGCCTTTTAGTTTAGTTTTGAGCAGGTCATTTTGGATTGATTTCCATTTTGACCCGTTTTTCGCTTTGAACAGATCGAGAAATCGATTTCCATTTTGACCCGCGTAAGCGATTTTGGTTGAAATCGCTTGCTTGCAACATGGGCCAGCGGTTGTTTGCAAACCAAACCACGCTCAGCGCGATAACTGACAAGATGCCTGATGGGGTCTGATCATCTTTCGAACCGTTGAGGACAAACAAACTGCCCCATCAGTCTCAGCCAGGGCCTGCCCGCCCTTTGGACTGAGCTGTTGACGGAGGTTGGGCCCATGAAGCTTTACGTACCCTTTCACCTGACATTTGCCAGAAGACGAGGTCGTGACATGGCTCATCCCTTAGACTTCCAATGCCATCCGAGTGAGGTTGGAATGCTCATGGAATTCTCTAGGACGCAGTTCATCCATTGCCTGTTCTGATGCTGCGGCTTTCCAGTTCGGACAGCCATTTCTGGTCATGGCAACCTGAAGCACGTTTTTCTTTTGGAAGCAGATGCGTCTTGCCGAGCTTGGCGACTGGATCAGCTTCAGCTTTCATGGCTGTGGGCAATTGGGCTTCAGGGCTACTTTGTTTTGCGATGCCAAGGGCATGCCCCCAAACAAATCAAGGGTGCCTTTCTTCAACCAGCCCTAATCCGCGTGGCTGGATGGCTGCATGGCTGGACTGGGCGCTTCAGGTTTGCTTCCTGATACTCTTCACCTCCCTGGCTCTCAGCGAGCCCCGAGACAAGATGCGGGCCTTCGAGGGATACCTGCGCAAGCGCTTTGACGAAACGGCCCCCGTGCGCCTCAAGGACGTGGGCTCTGTGGAAGCTTTCTGGGACTACCACAACGCGCACCCCGGAGTTTGAAAGAAGTTGTGATCGGAATCTAAGGGAGGCCCAAACTATTGGGGAATATTGGGGACCCGATTTTGAGAAATGCAATTTGTGTGATTCGGCCAAAACTTTAGATTATGTTCATTGAGGCTTTGTGCAGGCACTGTCGCTCAGCTTAGCTTTGCCCACCCGCGCTCTTGAGTGCCTCTTATATAGGTGGCTGCAGTTTCCCTCCAGGTTGCTTGTTGTGGGTGGCGGGCCAGGCTAGGGTGACGCCCCTTTCAACATAGGGTTCTCTGCCAGGGGAACTCACCTTAAATGGGCCAAAAAGGCGATGTTCAAAATCACCAAAAGGCAAACATGGGGACCACTGTTGCAAGACCGGGCTGAGAACCGAGGCGCAAATCACCCGCATCGCAAAGAAAACAGACAGAGCCAGAGCACAGCGTCTAGTTTGTCATTCGTTTGTCCCATTACGTACACACACACATATATATATATATATACAGATATATTTCTATATATGTGTGTGTGTGTGTGTGTTTGTGTGTGTGTGTGTGTGTGTGTGTGTGTGTGTGTGTGTGTGTGTGATTGTGTGTGTGTGTGTGATTGTGTGATTGTGTGATTGTGTGATTGTGTGATTGTGTGATTGTGTGATTGTGTGATTGTGTGATTGCGTGTGTGCGTGTGATTGCGTGTGATTGTGTGTGATTGTGTGTGTGTGATTGCGTGTGATTGCGTGTGATTGCGTGTGATTGCGTGTGATTGCGTGTGATTGCGTGTGATTGCGTGTGATTGCGTGTGATTGCGTGTGATTGCGTGTGATTGTGTGTGATTGTGTGTGAGTGCGAGTGTGTGTGTGTGTGTGTGAGTGTGTGATTGTGTGTGATTGTGTGTGATTGCGTGTAATTGTGTGTGATTGCGTGTGATTGCGTGTGATTGCGTGTGATTGCGTGTGATTGCGTGTGATTGCGTGTGATTGTGTGTGATTGTGTGTGATTGTGTGTGATTGTGTGATTGTGTGTGTGTGTGCGCATATTTGACCAGTTCTTTTCTTAAACGAGTTTGGGTGCGAGGTTTCCAACTACAGTTTTGTATGTAGTCGGAAACTCTTTGCGGCCTTAGCCGCAGCTGCTTGGCCAAGTCAGCAAGGGGCTGAATGTAATCGAGGTCCTTTATGCCTGCTGTCTACGGGCAAGACTTGGCCAAGTACTCGTACCCTGGGGCAACGATCCCCACCTGGCTGCAGATCGATGGGCCCAACTACCTCTATGGCCTGGGTCGGATGAGGGCAATGAACGTGAAGCCCAACTTAGGGTGCAAGGCCACTCAGCACGGCTTGCTGAGATAGCTGTTTCTGGCTGGTTTGCTGGCCTGGTTGGCGAGTACTGTTCTTGATTTGTTTCGCCTCGCTTGCAGAAAGGATGCTGGTTCTTTTTTGATTCCTTGGCTGCATGCCTGTGCCACGCGCAAGTGGTGTTTGGGCATTGGAGAGGCATCTCAGCATAATTGCCACAGAAGCCCGGGCGGACATTTTGCAAGACCTGTTGACAAATACCTCGGGCCATGTCCAATGCCTTTCCGTTGACACTTTCACCCTCGAGCATAAGTATCCAACTAACGCCTGCGGTGAGTGAACTTGTTGGCCCTGACGTCGTAGGTCGCCGAGCAATTCAGCAGCTACTTCCCCACTTGCTATGGACCTTTCAGCCCAGAGGTGCCTTGGAAGTTTTGCCTGAGGCTGCTTTGTGGTTGATGTTGGCCTTTGGCAGGACTGAGCTGATCCCAACCCACAAAAAGTCTGCATGGAAGACTTTTGGCGTGTCGGCCTTGAGTCATTGAGGCGTTGGATCGAGATGCATTTGGCCCCATGAACGGCGAGGGCGTGCCTTCCTTCTTCTTCACGCCGGACGCCAATGGCGAGGAGTACGAGGGCATCCTGGCCAGATATCCCACGGGAGGATACACCGAGATTTACACGCCGGACTACCTTACGACAAATTCCAAGTTCCAGGTGGGGATAACTTTTGGCTCGAGGGCCCTTCGGGGCATCGTGTACGTCGGGCTTGATGCCGAAGACTTTGCGTTGGTGTTGCCGTTGCCTTGTTAGATTCATAGCCAGGTGATGCGGGATGATGGCTTCGTGAGCGAGAAGACCAGGGCACTGTTCTTGGAAGCTTCGCGTGTATCGCAAACAGGTGATGGGCATCAAATAAGACCTGAAGTCTCAAATAATTTGGGGAAAGTCCAGGAGTGGCGTGAGCCCTGTTGAAAAGCCTTGCGCCAGAGGTTGTGGCCAGGTCCCTCCAGACATTGGCACTTGTTCCATTTGTGATTCCATTGCCACCTTCTTGTATGGACCCCTCATTGCGCAATGCTGGCGGGTGTGTGTGCTTAATTTCTTCCTCCCTATGGGCCCATGGTTGTGGGAAAATGGGGCCAATTTCTGTGATAGCAATGGGATCCGCTGGAAAGCAACAATATTGGTATCACGGGAAGGGCCGTGTTCCGCAAACATAGTGTAGTTTGCAACGTGATGTATTTATCAACCATGTAAACCCCAATGCATGCATGTCTCACTTGTGCAGTCTCATCATTACGACTGCACGTGGCTCAAGGAAAAAGCGCGCTGAGTACAGGGTTCAATTGTGACCCTTCCCGGTTGTTTAACCTGTTCTATA